CAAATATTTTATCAAACATACAAAAAATATGTATACAAATTATATAAAATAAAAACAACATTTCAACACTTCAATGTACACTATGTTTATTATTTACACAGCATTCATTTAAATAACAATAATTTTTTCAAAATATTTGAAGTGAATGCATATTTATTTATAGCCTCTTCCAGGTCTATATCAATGTCCTTCTCACATGAAAGTAACAGTAAGCTTTCTAAACGATTTTGCTGCATAGTGGAGCGTAAACGAGTTTTGATGAGCTTAAGCTTTGAGAATGACCGTTCACTTGAAACAGATGTAGCTGGAATGGTACATAAATACTTGTAAGCAACAAACAAATTAGGAAATGCTGCACATAACCCGTATGAGCTAATTAGTTTTAAAATTTGTATTGATGTAAGATTTTTTTCAGCAATTTTTGTTAATGTATTACTATTAGAACTACTATCAGAATTACATGCATCTGTATTTTCTTCAGTAATATTTATTTCCTTTTCAGAATTAGATAATGATGTAAGATTCAAACTGGATTGCAGATTTTTAAAACTTGAAGCAAATATTAAATATTCATTTTTCAATTCTTCAAGTTGTAAATTTGGAATCCATTGGACCAGTGTTTCAAATAAATCATTAGAAATAGGTTCTCCATTACTTGTAGCCATAAGACGGTCATAGGAAATAATCGAAAAGTCTTTTAAAATATTTCTAGCCCCGTCAAATCTCATTAAGATAGAATTTGTAATTTGATCTAAAATAACAAAATAAACTTCTGTTCTGAATTTATCTAATGGGTTTACAATTAAATGTTCTGTTGGTTCTTCACCAGGCATTATTTTCTACGTCGGACACGTATATCTGGCAAACAGCTTTCAGTAAGACCCTTGTCACTTGCAAATGTTTTGACTTCATTCAATAAATTTTCTGCCTCATGATTTGTTAGGTTAATAATCACCCATTACAAAAAATATAAAGAATAATATTTTTGAGAGAATGACTTATCGATTTTATATTTTATTGTTATTTTTTATTGTATTTGAGTTTCAAAATAAACAAAAAATGTTGTACAATATTTAAATTATATTTATATTGCTTTGAGAATTTGAATTTTGAGAGAATATTTAGATAAATCGATATATTATTCTCTATATTTTTTGTAATGGGTGATTTAACTCAGGGCGATCACTTAAAACCACGGACTATGATTAACATTTATAATGTTAATCATAGTCCGTGCTTAACACATAGAAAAAATGATTCTGTGTTAACGCGTCTATGTTATGTTATGTTGGGCCAGAGAGATAAAACAAATAGTGCGCTGACATCTTCTTCACCGTAACCGAGAGGCGAGATTTAACTATGATTGTAAAACGGACACATTGAAATAATATACTGATAACTGATTTTGAACGTATTAACATTTCTAATTCATTATAATAAATTATTGCTAATCAGATTATCTTGTTGCTTATTTACCAAATTGGATTAGTTTACAAATCGATTAACTGCATTTCTAAATTTTCTAATTCCATCCAATTAAGATAGTTATCATCAAAATCTTGCACATCAAATAAATCGGSATAATTAATGATTTATATTATTTGATTTGATTAAATTATATTTTATAATAATAAAGATAAGATAACAATAATACGTCGTTGTGAAATATATATTTTTAATATTTGCAATTTATTGTATTTTACTTAAAAATATATAAATATATATGGACAAATGAAAGTTTTTCGTGTGCCATCGAAAATCTCGTGCGTGCCAACCTTGGCACGCGTGCCACTTATTTGCCATCCCTGCTGTACACAGACACAAAAACAAACATTAAAAAAAAAAAAAAACACACATCATTGTAAAATCAATACATTCATCACTTCGTTCAGAATCTAAAATTAAATATTGTAACCAAAAAATCTAATTTTAGTTACTTTTATGTAGCTTTAAAATGTTATTTGTGGACCGTTCCACCGCAATTTTCAAWTGTATTATATTCAGAAAAAATTAACTCAACCATCGCATACATATATTAGTCTATTATTAATAGTTATATAAATAAATTGAATGTAATATAGAAGGAATATGGTCGCATCTCAGCGCATTATCCGTTTTCTCCCTTCGACTAGGGTGTTTAGATATAAAAAAATACCCGCAGTGGCGTTATTTGGAATGTTGACTCCTAAAACCACACATTTTTTATTGACATTTTTAATGACTGAAAARGTGTGCGGTTTTTGTATATCGACCTTTTTTCGGGTCAAAATCAAAAGTGTATGGTTTTTGGATGCAATTATAAGGAATTGGTTCTAGGGTGGGATATAAGTGTATACTATCGTTCTAGTGGGGGAGGGGGGCTTTTCCCACATACCCTCCTTAATAATTAAATTTCATTGATCATAATATTATATTAATTTAATATTATAAATTTTTTTTTTTAGCATTATAGACCATTTAGGCCCTTTGCTGCCAATATCAAATTCTTCCACTCTTCACTATTATATGCATGCATTAGGTTTCCATGCCAATTTGGTCTTAACTCCTGGATATCTCTTTTGACTACATCTATCCAACRCTGCTTCGGTCTGCCRCGAGGTMTTTTCCTGTTCAAGTTGTTTACAAGTACCTTCTTGAYAATACTATTATCCGCTCTCCAAACGTGACCAGCCCACTCCAGTCTAGTGCCTTTTACAAATTGTACTATATTTCCTTTTCCATATAATTGTTGTATCTTATATCTATGATATGGCGTAAAGAAGAAATTCCAACCGATTGGAGAACATCAGTTATCTGTCCAATATTTAAAAAAGGTGATCCCAAATGCATAGAAAATTATAGAGGTATATCTCTCCTAGATGTTGGGTATAAGGTCATGTCTATATGTCACCTATGAAGAATACAAGATGTATCGGAGCAAATGATTGGAAACTACCAGTGTGGATTTAGGAAGGGGAAGTCAACGATAGATCACATATTCACATTACGACAAATACTAAGTAAACATTACGAATATTATAAAAACATCCATCTAGTATTTGTAGACTTCAATCAAGCATACGATAGTATAATTCGGAACAAACTATGGAAAAACCTAACAACTCTAGGTATTCCAAATAAAATAGTTAACTTAATAAAATTATGCAACAGTAATACAAAATGTGTGGTTCGGGTACAAGGAGAGCTAACAGACCCTTTTGAAGTTGGTAAAGGACTAAGACAGGGTGATGCACTATCGCCTGTATTATTTAACTTGGTGTTAGAAAGTGTATTAAGGAGAATGCCACGACGACAGATAATGGAATTAAATGAGAACCATACCCTACTAGCATATGCGGATGATATATTAATTTTAGGTGATACGAAGCAAGATACCGTAAACAGTATGTCAGATCTAATGAAAGTATGCAAACATATAGGGTTGTCTATAAACCAGGAGAAGACCAAATATATGTTTATGACAAGAGAAGCACGAGATAATGAAGATGATTCAGACTTGGAAGTCGATGGGATATCATTTCAACAAGTACATAACGTCAAATATCTCGTAGTCAACATAAATAATAGAAACTGTATGCATAATGAAATAAAACTCYGTTTAAAAGCTGGGAATGGATGTTACTTTGCTATGTCACATCTGTTTAGGTCAAAATTATTATCTAGGAAAAATAAAGAGAAGCTATATACTAMGTACCTCAGACCAGTTGTGACTTATGCATGCTGTACTTGGGCTACAACAGCAGGAGATGAGAATAAACTTAATATATTTGAAAGGAATGTGTTAAGAAAAATCTATGGTCCCGTATATAATCCTGATACCCAAGTGTGGGAGAGAAGGTCAAACGAACAAATACAATATTATAAATTAAATTAAGTAAATGATGATGGTTTTCAAAGACAATAAAACAATCAAATTAAATTAAATGTATTTTTCATAAATTATAATATCAAGTCAATTTTTATTTTAGTTTTTTCCGTAAAAATATCCAGTAAGTCATCGGGGTTCAACTTAAATTGTCGATGCATTGATAACATTGTAAGTCCATTCAAGAGTTCTTATTAAGTATTTAAGTTAGTAATAATTCATAATCATTATATGTTATTTAGAAAAATAATGATTATTACCTGACCTATTGTGTTTCTATCACTTTCTGAGATAAATTTTTACTCTTTTTAAAGTAAAAAACATACGCTCTGGTGGAGTGGTCGAGAATGACAATGTGTATAATATTTTTAAAAACAAAAATATTTTTTGATACATTTTTTCATCACACATAATGAGTGCTTGGAGACCAGATTTTGGATGCTTTTCACATTTGATTAATCTACCCTTCCGTAGTTTTAATTCAGATAATAGTTTGTCAAAACATTATACATCAAGACTATAAAATTCTACCAATTGTTTGAATGATAATTCTTCATCTTCAGTTAAGTTTGAATTAATTGAAAATAAGCATTCGAACCCTACATAAATATAATGAAGAATTAATTATTTTTAACAATATTTATATAATAATATGCAATTCTTATATATATTATGTTATACCACTAAACCTTTGAAAATATCTGAATGAGACAAAAACCTTTCTTGTAATTCAGTTATAAAATAATCAATATAAGGTAGAAACACTGTTATCATATAGTGTGTATTTACATTTATCTCTCCATTCATTATAGGATTCGCATGGTTTTTTGTTTTTTAACAATTCTTTTGGGTGTTAATTCAATATTTAGTTTAGCAGATATGTACTATAACAAATTATACTCATAAAGTCATAAATATAAGTGGTAATATCATAATTATACATATAATACCTTTGCTTGACTAAATAATATTTTTGATTCACGATCGCAATTACTTCTTATCACCTTCAACTCTGATACTATATCTTCTGTGAGATTTAAAAACAAAAATTTTAGTTTACCTAAAAAGTTTTGTTAATAATTATCATATGAAATGATAGAGTATAACCTACTTGCCTGTAATATGGATGTTACCTATGTTATTAAATTATGTATTACCTATATACCGTTTTCACAATAATTCGTATTCTTTGCTAATATTATATTTTTGGTTAATGTTTGTATATATTTTATAATTCAATTATAATTGATCAATATAATAATATATAAATAGCTAAATGAAATATAATATATTTAGATTAAAATAAACTATAATATAATATTATATTATTATGGGTGATTATTAAGAATTTTTTTTTGTATGGGCATGTTCAGGCAACACAGTTTTTGTTATCACATTTGTAATGGAATCTGTAGGTTTTAGTAATACCCATAAATAAATAATGATTAAAATTAAATATTAAACATATAGATAGTTCGATAACTGAAAACACTAGGCGTGTTTTAGCGGAGTAAACTGTTTAGTGAAGAAGTTTATGGTTATAAAAGGTGATTAGAATACGTTCTAGAATACTGTTTCGCCAAAACATAATACCGTAAACACGTTTACTGAACTTAATGTGATTTGTTTGGATAGTGATAACAAATATGTCRTGATATGGATAGATGATAATGGATATGTGACTACTGACTTTATTAGTTTAATTATTATTTTAATTTTATTGAACTGGTCGTAAATTTATTACCTACTGCTTTATAATTATTTATAAGTGAAAATGAGTTCTAAGCAAAATAAATTAAATCTTTTAGTTATGATGATGAATGACATGATGGAATCTGACGACATGTTGTTTAACAACATGATTTTTATGATGAAAAATAAGTCTACAAGTCTGAACCATCTGCGAACTTTATGTAGCGATATTCACGAAAGGCATTTTCGTCCGAGTGCAGAGGTTGAAGTTTGGATTACCCAGTATAGTGCTTATGATTTTCATGTAAATTATCGGATGACGCAAGATACGTTTTATACCTTATCACGTTTTTTAAATCAAGTTTCACCAGATATTTCAAATGAAAATTATACTTGTGGAAATGTCCCTATTTGTTAAAAAAATATAATACTTATTTGTCTTTGGTACTTTGGGAAGAAAGGTTTAATGCAAGCTATAAGTGATCACTGATCATCTTAATGGTGCTAAATCATCAGTTTATAATATTTTAAATGATTTTATGAATGTCATAATTATAATATAATAATTATAATTTGTGGACGCCGTCTACGAGGGAARGGTCAAGGGTGTCGTCGAGGAAAAGTAAGAGTTAAGTTTATAAAGTTAAATAAAGAGTAGATAAATTTTTAAAGTTGTCCGTCAACCGTCGTTCGTGTAAAACGGGGCTTAATCAAAGTAATAAGATAAGACGTGTAATCGCATCATAGTAAACTCTATTACCGAGTCTTAATTGACGGTTAGTAAAATCACTAAACTTGTTTAAAAAATCAATAACCGTGTTACAGAAACCGTACTCGCGAAAACGATATCAGTAAACAGTTTACTGATGGTTACTCCGCCAAAACACGCCTACTAATCCACAGTACACGAGTACACCATAATAATAATTATTATATCTATAGATATGATTATTGATTTATATTTTAATCGCGCTGTTTACTCACTATCGAGAGCATTGAACACTAGTGTTCGACTTATTTTGGGTAATCCCCGTGGACTAACGAAATTTTACAGATTTAAAAGTTGTTTCACCCTACAGCCACTATTTTGAAGCCATTGCAGTAATGTTGATATTATTATACAGTTATAAATTATTGAATTTATTTKTTATTGTACTATGTTTTATATTTAATACGAATTTCATGTCAAAAAAATATTGATTGACGATAGAACCATACGATACCTATCATTGAATATTGATATATTTTGATCATTTACTTTATATTTCTCGTTAGAAGTAATGTGACGAAAAACCGCTCAGTGTCAAAATTCATCCCCAAAAATTTTGATATTAAAATTTGCCCCCCCTGGAATATTAACGCTTTTTGCACCTAGATTGCGCGGCCCTGCTTTCATAGGATTTTTTAAATTTATAAATATCGGTAATAAGTAAATCTTTAAAATTGTTACTTGCATTTTTAGCAAATATAATTTTATTTTCTGTCATCTTTTAAACAAAAATACGCCAAACAGAAATTTGTAATTAAATGAAGTACGGCAACGATTGACAAACTTGCGGTCGAGATTTGAAAAATACCATCGTAAAATGTCGTATCGACGATTGGGCAATAAAAATTATTTACAGCAAAGATAAAGTTAGATCTAAAGATAAGTACCTATGAAGATATATCGAGTCACGACTGATATAGAAATTAAATTTAACCATGTTACATAGTGGTTCAAAAATGAAAATACTTGGTAAAAAGTTATTGTCAAATTTAGTGATTTGTAACGTAAATGGGCGCAAAAAAGTGTTTTAACGAATTTTAATTTTATTAAGCGCAATCAAGGTTTTTGAGTAGTGGTGCAAATGTGGTATTTAGGCGCATACACAGTCCACTAAATAATCCAGACATATTATTTTCCGCATTATTATAGACCTCCTTCATAAACTAATAACTATGATTTACTTAACAACATATTTATATAAAAAATATTTAACAGAATTGATATATATATATAAAGAATAACAATTCTTCAATATCAAATATCACTTTATAATTTATATAAGTAGGTACATTCAGTCTTTTGAATAACAAATTAAATAATATATTAGAATAAAATTTAGAAAGAATATATCATTAATGATCGTTTACGCATGAGAACTCGAACGTAACATTCGAAGGACCGATGGTGATGCCCGAGAAAGATTTATGATGAGGGTTTTAACATTGGTGTAATGGTGCATGTCACCACTAACTCCTACTATTGTAGTGGATAGGCAACCATAATGCCTTCGCCCGATGCTTGGCGAGTAGGTAATTTTACGCACGATGCCTACAATTGAAGATGACGGGAATGCCCTACCGAAGGACTGTTGATGGTGCAGGCCAGTTATGGGGAGGGGGTCTCCGTGGTCGGCTCGGTTTGGTGCAATGACCACAGAGCTCATGACAACAGGAGTAATACTTAAAACTACCTTAACTCTGTTGAAGCTTTGAGATGACCCGACGCTATTAGCATAAATCGACCTGGATGATCTGGGGCGGATTCTCACACACCTACGGTGCTGACGGACTTACGTGCAACTTCTGATGGCAAATAAAAATAATTAGCCCGTTGGCACAGTGCACCACGTGACCTGAAGCTAACCTAATGTAATAAATACTATAATAATAAATATAATATAATATATTTAAGATTTTTAATATTACGGTTCGTCGGCCGATTATCTTAAATCTGGTGTCCGTTAGTGGCTTTGAACCAAATGCTAATGTTTCGGGATGCCCACACTTGCACGATAAAAATACAATAGAAAATAATTATTATAAAAGTATGTGGCAATCCCAAGACGTACGACTAACGGGCCACCAGATTCTGACTAATAATTCACTGTAATAATTTATGTGCTTTTGTAAGTATGTCATGAACCTGGTATGGGAAGAAAATATTAGCTGCGTACACAATAATTATGCTGAAGGATACTCAGGCCTTATGCACRCGTGAGCGTTTTTTGTACTAGAAATCGCTCTCCAGTATTTCGTCATTACCCGTCAGTACCGTATTCGCGTAGTAAAAATGGAGGTATCCAGGAAAAAATAAATATTTTCGCGTACCTTGTGTATAAAAAGTAAATCTTAAAAAAAAATTCGATATTGGGTACATCCATTCACTGAAAGTCGACTCACGTGCCGGATATTTTATATATCTTTTGATAATCTTTGAGAAAATGATGTAAAATTCTTTAATTATTTTCGAATGACCGTGAAATCGTTGRACGAGTTAGCTGTAAAAATTTCAACAAAAATTATGTCTCAAGATACATGCATCATGCATG